ACATGAAGAGGCTGTTCCTTTCTTCTGGATTTTTAAAGCTACACAGAGTGTTAAAAACAGAGATCAATATTTTTTTTCTAATTGACGAGAACTAGACAGGACTGAAATTATGCATCCAAAACAGTTGTTGGGAATGTACCTTTCTCTTTTTATTGCAGCATAGATAGAAATGCGTTCCTCACCTGCAGTACAAAACCACATTGGATGTATTGTATTCAGATGTGTGCCTACAGTCAGTATGTACATGGGGCATAGGATGTAGTTTGAATATATGTGTGGAAGATGACTCTATGCATGTGCCAATCTCTTTCCATGGCTTCATGACAAATCTTTGTGCAGTACCACACAGCAGAACAACAGTAATAATGTTTATAGTCACTAAATGGTTTCAATATGATAGTGGTGACAACACAGGTGTCAAGTAAGTAGATGAGACGAGATGGCATGAAAATAATAGTAACTGCATAATGCTATGCTCATGTGCATGCTTTCCTAAATATGATAGAGAGCATTTTGGAGGAATGTGCTGGCTGAAACAATTTTTTGTATAATTTTTGTATTGTATATCTTGTACTTGTATTTTGTATATTCATTTTTACTGTTGTAATAATAATAATAATAATAATAATAATAATAATAGAAAATGTTACCCACTGGATCAGCATGAACACAATCAAAACATTTTTCCTATCTATTTTATTAAGCCTCACAGCAGTACTCTACCATATGAGATGATACTCTCCATTTTACAGATGGGGAAAAGGGTCTGAGAGATAGTGAATTTTCCAAGGATGCATGAGAAAACCAGGGTACAAGCAAGATCTCAATATAGTTTGTGTGGGTTCAAGTCCAGCTCTGATCAATAGGAAACTGATACATCTACAGTTGTCCCTCCAAGTCCGCAGACTTGACGATCCATGGAGGGGTGACCACCATTGAAGTGCATGGGGCATCTCAATGGCGTTTACATATAGATGAGTCTCCTAACTCGCAGTGGGGTCCAGAACAAATCTCCCACGAGTTAGGAGGGGTGACTGTAAAAATATACCTGAAGATCTGTAGCCTTTAAGCTTGTGTTGGGAAAAAGGTCAGGAGGAGGGGGGGAGATATTAAACAAAAAACAATCAAAAATTAGATTTATTTAAATAAATAATAAATAATTTAAATAAATTTAAACAAACAAACAAATAAAATTTGTGATCCTGTTAATGAGAATTGGGTGTTCCCTATAATAATAGATTTTAAAAAAACCAAACCGTTTCTCTTTTCTTATAGAAACCCAGAAAGAAAACAGTGGATAGTTCCAGCAACAGTGAAAGTGATTCTGGCTCCTCTTCAGACACCTCCAGTGAAGGCATTAGTAGCAGTGACTCAGATGATCTGGAAGAAGATGAAGAGGAAGAGGAGGAGGAAGATCAAAGTGTGGAAGAAAGTGAAGATGATGACTCTGACTCGGAGAGTGAAGCACAGCAAAAAAATAAGAACAAGGTGTGGTCGAGTTGAACATTGCCTTAATTTTCTGAAGGAACCCTTAAACTACCAAACGCTGTCATTCTATATTGTTGGCTATGCCACTGGGTGTCATGGCATGTATTTTGGCAGTAGTCAGTCTTGGTCCTTTCTTTCTGCTAACCCTTATCCTAGGTTATCCCAACAAGAGGAGCAGAAACAGTATGATCACATATTAGAGATCTGACACCACTTACCCAGCAAGCAAAAGAAAAAAAATACTCAGCTTTTCCTCAAGACCCTAATTGATAGTGAAACTTAACTGAGTTGTTACACAGGCTGGGCTTTTCCAGACCTTCTTAAGTCGTGCTGTGGGATATGCCCACAATAGGGCATTGTTTTACTGCAGACAGCTGACCAAAGGGTCAAAATGGGGATTCTGCATGGCATTTAAGACCCAAACTGGATCTGACATTAATTGTCTGACTGCAATTAATGTGTCTGTCTTTCAAATTTTAAATAGCATCTGGGAGGGAAGGCATGATTTATTTATGTATTTGTCCATTTGATTCATACCCAGCCTTTCTCTGACAAATGGGATTCAAAGTGGCTTACAATAAGCTAGTATAAATAGAATTAACATTTAAAAAATTAAAACATTTTAAAAGGCCAAGATACAATTTCAAAGGATGCCAGTGAAAGAAAAATGCAGTACTAATCTAGTTAAAAAGCCCCTTCCTTCTGCAGCAAGTCAAGCCTGTAACCACAGAAAGTTAAAGGTCTTTTCCTGCCAATGGAAGCAACATGGCAAGAGGGACAAGCCTTGTTTTCCTACAATAACCACAGTAGAGCCATAGCAATAGCAGCTTCATTTATATACCACTTCACACCATGCTATGCAGTCTCTAATGGTTTACAATCTGTAAGCTAATTGCCCCCAACAAGCTGGGTCTTCATTTTAATGACCTTGGAAGGATGCAAGCCTGAGTCAAGCCTGAGCCCTGGCTGGT